TTTTTTTTTTTTAGCCAATTTAACCGAAATTTTCTTTTCATTTGTTGAAGCTGTTGATCTTTTTATTGCTACCGGATACAGTGCTGCAGTATTTTCATGGAGATTTATCATAAAGCTGCTACATGAGAATGTTGAAGGATTTTCAAAATTTTATTTGTACTTCTTTTAAAAGAACTTTTCAGCCGACTTTGTTCAAAAGTTTTTTTTCTGAAATATAAGTTGTTGTTGCGTAATTTGTGATTTAAATGAGTTTTTATTTTGATTTTTATGGTTGTTACCGCTGTATTATATCGTTACCACAAAATATGAAAGTGCGTTTATTTTTTATTTATTTATTTATTTTTTGATGTATTTCGTTTAGAAACAGTCTGGAATTACCTTTTATCTATTAAAATTAAGTCTCGTGAACTGGACCTCATGCCAGTTACAGAGAATGCAAGTTCTTCTACAAAGGTTATACATCTTTTTAATTTTTTACTTTTAATTAATTTTACTGGTTTCCTGATTTTTAACTTACAGCATCATAGGGATTTCATGTAATGCACAGTGGGCTTAAAAGTGCTGTTTTTTCTACCATTAATGCCCCGTTGTAGAACTGCCTAAGTGTTCTTTGAAGGCAAAGTCGTCTTTTGCTTGTCCTTTATTCTTATATTGAAAAAACTATTTATACGATGTCGCTTAATTCCCTTTAGGGTTTCTTCCTTTAAATTGAGAAATCGTCAAAGTCTCATAATTTCCCATTTTTACTGCTGCCGCTTAAGTTTATGCATTTTCGGACTTTACTCTGCTGCTGTTACACTTAAAACTCTTAGATAATTAACGGTCTTTAAAGGTACTTCAATTTTCCAAAAATATTTTCAAGCTTACATTTTGGTTTAAAATATTTTTTTTTACAAATGCAGTTTTTATTGTAGCAATATATATATATATATAAGTTCTGTAGAGGAAATTGCGAGGGAATTCCTTGGAAATTGGCAAGCAGTTTGTAAGAATATTTTATTTTAAGTAATTTTTTTGTAGTGAAGAAGCAACATATAAGGAATAGGAGTGTAGTACGTATTGCTAGGTGGTGGCTCTTTAGTTGTATGGAAGAGGGGTCAAAATTAATTTCTGACCTTTAACTTTCTGTTTGTTAGTTATGTTGGAAACTTTATCAAATAAATTTTTTGTA